TGTTCTCCTTTTCTGCTTTTTCCTTTTCTTCTAGTTTAGCCCTTTCCCATTCCACATCCCCCTCCTCCTGCCTTCTTCCTCATTCTCAATCGACTCCACTATCTCTTTCTTCTTATCTTTTTACTTTTTCTCATCCTGACATTGTACTCTTTCTTCTCATTCCGTTCCCATCATCATCCTGCTCTTTTTCCTCCATTTTCTTCCACTTTTCTTTCCTCACTTTCTTCCGCTCCTCGCTTTCTAGCTTCTTCTTTTTATATGCTTTTTCTGGTTCTTCCTCTTTTCTTTCCCTCTATTATCCTTATGCTACTTTCATTTTAATTTTATGCTTCTCCTTTTTCCATTCTTATTCTAGTTTTCCTATTTTTATTCTTCTGCTTCTTATTCTCATTCATTTCGTTCTTCTCGTTCTTCAGCTTTTTCTTCAAATTATCTTTCTTGTTCTTTTAATTCTTTCCTTTTTTCCTTCCTTTTCTCCTTCGCCATCTCCTCTTCCTTCTTCTATTTTTACTTTTTCTCATCTCGTCATCCTACTCTTTCTTCTCATTTCGTTCCCATACTCATCCTCCTCTTTTTCCTCCACTTTCTTCCACTTTTCTTTCCTCTCTTTCTTCCACTCCTCGATTTCTTGTTTCTTCTTTTTATATGCTTTTTCTGGTTTTTCCTCTTTTCTTTCCCTCTATTATCCTTATTATACTTTCATTTTATTTTTATTTTGCTCCTTTTTCAATTTTTATTCTAATTTTCCGAGTTTTCTTCTCATTCTCATTCATTTCGTTCTTCTCATTCTTCAGCATTTTATTCAATTTATCTTTATTGTTCTTCTAATTATTTCCTTTTTTTCTTCCTCTCCTCCTTCTCCATCTCCTCTTCCTTCTTGTTCATGCTTTTCTTCTTTTAATTATTTTATCTCTTCTCTTTCTTTTCCACTACCTCCTCTAGTTTATTCTCCTTTTTCTTCTTCATCTCCTTTTTGTGTTCTATCTCCTTCTACTCATACTCCTTCTGCATTTCATCCCTCTTTCTTCTTAATCTTCCACATCATCATTTTTTCCTTTCCTTCCTACTCCAAACAGTCTTAACCTTGTCCTCGATATTCCAATCGGCGGCCCACGACCACTACTGCCTGTTCACATTTGGCTTAGCTTAGCTTGCACCTCTCACTCATGTCGTCATGACCCCGTTAGAAAGTACGCCCTTTGTTCAGTTTCCTCTGCCAGATTAGTCCAGATAACTTAAAACTTCCCTATTTTAAGAAGTTATTTGACCCTGTTTTCGTAACTTGGTCATATTGTCAGGTCTTAGATGAACACACCTTGTCCGGAGTTCATGGAATGCATGATCATCTCCAGACTTGGTACATTCCCGAGTCTATTAGGTATTGTCTATGAACTCCGGACAAGGAGTGTTCGTCCCTGACTTTCTGACAATATGACCAAGTTGCGAAAACAAGGTCAAACAACTTCTATACAACAGAAGGAGACCGCGACCACCCAAAACGCCACACCATCTTGATCTTCATACCTTCGATTCCCCATTTTAACTTGTAACCAACCTACTCTGCCCCGGTATTCCGGCCGCATCTTACTTTGGTACCTTTGCCAGACATGGCAACAACAAACCACTTGTGGTACATGTGCTGACGGACTTTGCAACAAATAATGCTTGCACGAAGGCAGTTGGTTGGCTGGTGTCGTTTTGACACGTTTTGACACGAAGTGGTCGGTGGTCACGAGGCTTTTTGTCGTGATGGGCAAGTTTTTTTCTTTTCTCTTGCTTTCCCCAGCCTCACGCCTCGGTCGTGCCGGTCCAGCAGCTCCGGCGCTAGACGCTGCTCAACGAAGCGGCGCGGCGGCGTCACGCTTTGCATGTCCCACCGGCTTCGGACGCCTCGCCTCGCCGCGTCGCCGACCCCGACTCCGTCGCGACGTCGGACGACCGACCGACCGACCGACCGACCGAACCGATGGCCCAGCCTCACGGTCTTCCGGCATGTTTGCCCACCTCTTCGACTTGCCTGGCTCAGGCAGGTCTGTTTGTGGTACAGCAGCACTTTCCACTCGGTCTTTTGCCCAGCCACGATGCCATCGCCGCAGAGCCCGGCTTTGCCGTCCGAGTCGAGGCCACACCGTCGACA